CCTCCTTCAGCGTGGTCCACTCCAAGGTTGCGCACGCTCGCCACTGCAACAGCACCGCATGCCTTGATGAGTTTGGCATGGAGCCCCTTCCTCAGCTTGGCGCTGCTGGCGAGGATCCTGGACTTCTCCGTAGCGACCTTGAGCTTCACCTTGCTGAGCTCCTTGACCAGGAGCTTGGCACTGGCGACCAGGTCCTTCTCAACTTTGCTGGTGCCGCCCCAGCGCTGCATCACCAGGTCGTCCACGACCACTGCGGGAACCACCGCGTGGTGTTTGGTCACCATCGCATCCAACGGCGTGGGGAGCATCACCTCCATGAAAGCCGTGGCGAGCGCACCGCCTGCCAGCACCGTTTGCATCACCATCAGCTCGTCCGAGCAGCAGCCTTCCAGGCAGACCACGCGGGGCATCCTGTACAGGTTAATATGCAGCTTGGCCAGCCAGAGCGGGAAGTTGTGGGCCTGGCAGGCCTTCAGGAGCTGGCCGTGCAGTATCTGCTCGAAGGCCTTCCAGAGGTCGAGGAGGATCGGCGCCGAGGCCCAGTCATGTTGTTCGTAGAGCGCGCCCATCATGTGGACCCACTCGGCCCTGGCCTGCTGCTGCCACACTGCACGGTCGCAGCTCTTGCCCGCGCTGGCCCACCAGTATGGCCTGTCGTGCTCTCGTTCCCACTGCTTCGCGACAGGCCTTCGCAACCTCCCGTGGATGCGCACGATGGCCCCCAGCAGCGCGATGGGGCGAAGCCCTCCGTCCGCCTTGGGGGTGAAGGCCATCTTGGTGACGAAGTCGGGCCACTCGCACCTCTGCTCTATCACGTCAAACAAGTCGATCAGGGCCTCGATGCCTTCGTCGCCCATTAGCTGCAACTCCCTGGGCCTGAGCGAGTCGAAGGACGCACCCGTGGCCTCCTTGAAGCTAGCGATAACCTTCCTGACTTCCTCGGCTGTGGGCCTGGGCGGCCTCTCGCCGAGCTCGTCGGGCCAGTTGATGCGGGCCTCCTGCGTGCTGACGCAGGAGGAGGTGGGGCCCCCCCAGGCCGACATACCCAGACCATTCCTTCACCAAGGCAGTAACCGTCTCCTGGAGGGTGGGAGGAGAGCCCTCGGGGGGCGCCCCCGTAGGGCGAGGAGCCCAGCCTTGTGGAGGTCTGGTGAGGGCGTGGAGGGCCCCCGTGCCTCTAGTGTGGTGGTCGATCACCCAGTCGTTATAGCTCGCCTGCCTCGTGTCGGCCTCCTGCTGGACCAGCTTATCGGCAGCCTCGTTGACGCAGGCAGCGATGCCCTGCAGCGTGCCAATGTCCAGGGAAGGCGTGGCCTCCGCCAACGTTGCGAAGATGGTGATCTCATTCAGCTTGTGCTGGTCGGCGGTCTGAACCAAGTCGTCGCCCGTCATCTTGCCGAGGACCCGCAGCGCCCGAAGCCGACGGAGGGGAAAGTCGACCTGCGCGCAATTCTCGATCGCTATCGCCACCTTCTTGTGCCGGGCGGCGGCCTTGGAACACTTGGGAATGCGTGGCGGGCTGGGTACCGCAACCTTGGCCATCTTGAGGCGGGGCCTGGCGCCGCGGCCTGCGTAGTCGTCGTGCTCGCGTGCCGAGCCCGCGGCGTCGATGATGTTCCACTCGGCCTGGTAGACGAGCAGCTGCCAGCGCGAGGAGAGCGAGCTCGTGGCCTGCATGGCCTGTCGCGTGGTCTCCCAGTGAGCTGAGTGGCCCCTGCTGCAGCGCGCGGCGGGCAGCGGGCAGGGCAGGCGCTTGGGGATCTCCATGATATGCATCTTCCTGGCGAAGGCGCTGCCGTCGACCCTCAGCTGGACGGGGAAGTGCGGCGCCAGGTTCCAGCCGTGCAGTACCGTAGCCTCTGCTACGCCGAAGGTCGTGCTGATGGCCCAGTAGTCGATGATGCGCCCCCCAGGACGGCAGGTGCCTTCGACGGGGGCGACCACCTTGAGCTTGAGCGCGTTGGGAAACCCTGACGCCGCCAACTCCTGCGGCTCCAGGTTGAAGTCGCCACCAATGATGATGGGCTTGGCAATCTGCTTCGCCGCGCGGTAGACGGCCTGCAGCACCTGGAAGAGGAAGTCGGACATGCCCTCGCTGTCCTTGAGGTAGACGTTGAACCAGGCGACTCCGCCAGGCACGATGCCAGCGAAGTGGGCGACACACGCCCTGCCAGCGAAGAGCACAAACCCGCTCTTCATCTCGAAAGCGCCGAGGCCGTGCGCGCGCGGCGCCAGCTGCAGCAGCCCACCGTGGCCGTGAAGGCCTGGGCCCGTGCCCACTGCGGGGCACGCGAGGACATGCCAGCCCTGCTTCTTGAGCTTGTCGGTCACCTCTGCGCACCGAAAGTCGGAGAGGTGGGTCTCCGACACCGCAATCATGTCTGCGTTGCGTACCTGGTTCTCGTCGAGCAGCGCCTCGAACCTGCTGTAGGCATTGGCATTGATGGCGAGCGCTGTCCACCACCGCCTCTGGGTAGAGCTACCCGCCTGCCGTCTTGGAAAGCTTGGCAGCGTGGATGGCCTCCATTGCCTCGGCAAGCCGCTTGCGCCCCCCCCCCCCCCCCCCTCGTCCTGACAAGAACCCAACAGGCCGCCGGGATCATCGCCAGCCATGCAAGCCTCGAAAGCCTCGACGGGCGAAGTCCCTTGCGCAGGGCCGCCCTCAGCAGCGGTCGCTTCACCTCCAGCTGCTGCTCCTTCAGGGGGGACTGGCTCTTGAGCTGCATGAGCCTCGTGCTGCTGCGGCTCGGTCGGCCTGCAGGCGTTGTCGAGCTCGTCGGCCGCAGCCTGGAGGGACTTGAGGAAGTCGGCCAGCGAGATGCCCTCCGTGGGGATCTCTCCGAGCTTGGCCCTGAGCTGTTGCCCCGTGAACGCTCCAGCTGCTGGTGCGCATGCACCATGCAGCTTCGCCGCGTCCCGCTTCGCAGACTCGAGCTCCTTCTCCAGCTTAACCACCTCGGCCTCAGAGGTTGACATCGCCTCCAGCAACTTGAGAGCCTCGTCCTTGTTGCTAGCCAAGCGGTCCTTCGCATTATGGAGGGCCCTGGCGGTTTTGTCGACGGCCTGAGGAGCCTCTCGACCAGCAGCGCCAAGCAGCCCAGCAGCAGCAGCCCGTCTGGTGCACTCGACCTTCTGCCTGGACGAGTGGGACAAGGCGCCCTTCGTCTTCTCGTAGATGTCTGCTGGAAGCTCGGACCACTCCTTGACGTCGCTGGGCGACAGGGTCGCTCCTGCGGCAGGCTGCTGCTGTCGCTGTGCCTGCGGTGCGCCTCCCTGCTTGGCCCAAGGCTTCCATCCTCCTTGCTGCCCCTTGCGCTGCATCCAGAAATCGGCTCCTTTCGGCACGCCATTCCATGGACGAGGCGGTGGCTTGGCATCTCCACAGTTGTTGCAAGTCCGTCGGCCCTTGGTATTGAACTCACCGCAGCTGCACTTCCAATACTCCGCCATGGCGACAGCTCCCAGGCGAGTACGGTCAGCAAACACAGTAGGGTGAGTTTGCTGAGCGCAGTGGCACCAGCAGAAAGACTGAGGGCGAGCCGCGGACTAGCGGTATCCGTGTCCTCCTCGGGGGGAGGCATGGTCTTGAGCCAAAATGGCTACGGAGCCTCGGCGGCCGAAATAAAACCGTCTCCTATCGGTTGCGCCATGGGTTGCGCCCTCGGCGGCCGAGAATAAAACCGTCGCGGAACGGTTGCGCCATAGGGTGCGCCCTCGGCGGCCGAGAAACAAGTCGTCTCCTAACGGTTGCGCCATGTGTTGCGCCCTCGGCGGCCGAAAAATAAAACCGTCGCGTAACGGACGCGACCAACATGTTCAATTCAGTTCAGTCAGCTAACCTCGCGAGGCACAAATTCGGGCTACGCCCGAAAAAATGCCAGCGTTTCACGGCTTGAGGGCGGCTCAGCGCCGCGCACATCCACTTCAAGCAATTACACGAGTTTCACGGGTAGATGGCAATTCTTTTTCAAACTGGGGTGCCGCGCACATTCGTTTTTTGGAAATTGCAAGAGCTTCACGGATTGAGGGCTGTTCTTTTTCGAAATGAAGCGTGGTTCTCGCTTTATGCCGCGCGCAATCGTTTCAAACAAAAGCCAGAGGTTCAGTGAGTCTCATGGCTATCGTACCAGAATTTGCTCTTCGGAGCGACTCAGGACTGTCAGGGCGCAACAGTTACATTAATTCGCGGTGCTGAAGTCACAGGAAAGGCGTTCTGGTACGATTCAATCGTAAAGACGCAACAGTAAGGTTGATTCGCGGCGTTGGAGTCCCACGAGTGGTGATCTGGCACGATGCAGGATTTTCAAACGGTTGCCTCCCAACGGGTCACTTCCCTGTGGAAATGAATCCTTCTGGAGGCCAGCGAAGAGGGAGCCTGGAGGAAGGGTTTATTGCAACGTCGTGGTTGAGTTTTGGGTTTACACTAAACCTCTCCTCCTCCTACTCCTCCTTCTCCTCCTCCATCTCCATCTCCATCTCCATCTCCATCTCCATCTCCATCTCCATCTCCTCCTCCATCTCCATCTCCATCTCCATCTCCATCTCCATCTCCATCTCCATCTCCTCCTCCATCTCCTCCTCCATCTCCATCTCCATCTCCATTTCCATCTCCATCTCCATCTCCATCTCCGTCTCTATGTCCTCCTCCACCTCCTCCTCCATCTCGATCCCCATCTCCATTTCCATCTCCATCTCCATCTCCTCCTCCTCCTCCTCCTCCTCCTCCTCCTCCTCCTCCTCCTCCCCTCCTCCTCCTCCTCCTCCTCCTCCCCCTCCATCTCCTCCTCCTCCTCCTCCTCCTCCTCCTCCTCCTCCTCCTCCTCCTCCTCCTCCTCTCCTCCTCCTCCTCCTCCTCCTCCTCCTCCTCCGCCTCCTCCTCCTCCTCTCCTCTCCTCCTCCTCTTCCTCCTCCTCCTCCTCCTCCTTCTCCTCCTCCTCCTCCTCCTCCTCCTCTCCGCGCACCACGCGGGCTCCCCCCCCTCAGCGGCTGGGGCGGGTGTCCGGCAGGCAACCGTGGCAGCCCCAGACGACCACGCCCCGCACGTCGCCTGCGGGCACGCCGGCGCGCGCCGCCAGCAGGCCCGCCGCGCGGTTCTGGTCGAGGCGCGTGAGGGCGAAGAAATTCTCCCTGGGAAGGGACGGCGCAGCCATGTCTGGGGGACACCAGCTGACCACTCGTATGGCCAACCCGTGTGACCGTTCACCTGAGCCTTCGCGCTACGCTCAGGCGGTGGCTCTCGTTCCGCTTTCGTTCCACTTCCGTTCCACTCCCGTTCCGCCTCCGTTCGAATACGCTCAACGTCCTCCATGGGCCTAGCGCCTTCAGAGCATAACGGCCTAGCGCCTTCAGAGCATAACGGCTGCGAAGGCACAAAAGCGACGCGGAAGTGGCACGGAAAGGACGCGGATTCTGCAAACAAATATAGCGTAACACGAAGGCCCCCATGAACGAACGGCTACACAAGACCACCTCGCTGGTCCTCCCCCTGACAAAAACATGGACAGCATTTTCCTGGCCATGCTCGGCGCTCAGGGCCCCTCAGCAGGCCCGGGCCCCGAGGCCGTCGACGAACGGCTCAGGGTGGGGTCCAGGCCTCCTGGGAGCCACGCTCTGAAGCACATCGCGGCGTCGGATGGTCTGGCCGATCCTGGGCCCATGAGCGGCGTGGCGAGGAACAAGGGCTCCCAACTTCGCGCTTCGCGCTGCGCGAAGCGCGAAGTGCGAAAAACTTCGCGCTCTCGCGCCGCCTCCCAGGGGAGAAAAGGAGAATGAGGAGGAATCGGAGCCGAACCGCGAAGCGCGAATAACTTCGCGCCCTGGAGGGCGCCCTTGAGGACTGCCGAGGGGGGTCGGCTGGCGTCCCCCGATGGAGCACAGCAGCGCGTTGGTGCAGGTCGGCTGGCCCACCACCACGACCCTGCAGGCCCTGCTGGCGTGCGCCTCGACCGCCCTGCCGATGGCCCGAAAGATCCTGCCGTTGTTCTCCACCAGAGCTCTCCTCGCGGGGGCAGGAAACATATCCTCATATAGAGGAGAGAGAACTATGCACATACACCGATTCTGGCCAGGACCATCCTGAGCCCAGGATCGGTGCATACGGCCTCCAACCTTGGCCAGGAAGGTATATGCACCGATCCTGGGTCAAGGATTGGCGTTGTCAGGATCGGTGCATGTGCATAGTTCTCTCAGCACTCCTACGAGCAAGGCCTATTCTGGCAAACGCGCCCCACCAAGGAATCGGACAGGGCAGGACTGTCCAACGAACGCGCTGGGCTGTTCATTGAACGCCATCTGTGGGGGTCGGGGTGGGTTCTCCTCCCTCGACTCCTGTCAGGACCCCTGTCTGGGAAGGCCCCGAGGAGCAGCACGTAGTCCGCCGCCCTGAAGGCGATGGCGTCGTCGGTGGTGAACGTCGCCTGGGCGAGGAGCGGGAAGTTGCCGTCCTGGAGCTCCATCTCGAGCGCCCCCATGGCCTGCTGCGTCTCCGCGAGGCCCAGGTCCTGGCACTGCAGGGACACCCTCTGGCCAGGCCCGAACATGTTCCCGCCAGCGATCATCGGCAGCAACGAATAGGCGATCTGCCCGGCCGCCGCCACCACCTGGGGAAACCAAACGGCACCAATACCGTTAAGTCGGGCCTGTCCCTCTACAAGAAGAATATTCGAAGATAGTCCACAAAAAAGTCTGGGGACGTTTCTTTCTCATATGTTTGGATTATTCGGGGTATTTTTGAATACTTTGACATTTGCCACAAAAAAATCAGCATGTGAGGGGACACGACCGACTGAACAATACCACTACTCCCCGGACCTCTCCCGGGGTGCCATCTGACCAGGAAAAGCCAGGGCGACCTCAGCCGTGGCGACGAGGGCCTCCCATGGAGGCGCAAAAAAAGGGCGAGATCGAGCGAAGAGTGGAGGTATCGGTACCTCCTCCTCCTCCTCCTCCTCCTCCTCCTCCTCCTCCTCCTCCTCCAGCCGTGTCGGCCCAGGCGCACTGGGCTTGCCCGAGTGTACTTCGACGCGGCTCGCTCGGGCGGGCCACGGATGGCGGCAAGGCACCCTTCTTGGCCTTGTGGGAACTGCGCGAGGGTGTATGGCACAGCGTTCGCCAACTATGCCCACCGCACCCACTGCCTGCGCTGCGGCAAGCAGGCGCCAAAAGGAGTGCTGGAGAAGCAGAGAAAGCAGAATCAGGGAGCAGCGGGTGGAGGCAAGAGCCAGCCCCCTTGGCAGAAGGCGAAGAACAGGTGGGCGGACGGACCGCCAGCCTCTCTCTGGGCAGGCTCCATCAGCCAGACCCAGGCCTCGCCAGCCCCTGCTGCTCAACCTATGGTCGATCAGGCAACGGCGAAAGCGATGCTTGAGACCATGGTCAAGGCACACGGAGATGATCGGAAGCTCTGGCCAGAGCAGGCGAAGAGCATGGTGGTGCAGTGGGACAAGGCGATGTCTGTCAAGGCGTCCGACCAGCCCGTCGACATCACAAAGCTCACTTCGTTCCAGCTGGGCCAGAGGCTGGAAGACACTAACAAAAAGCTTCAGAAGTCTGAGGAGCGGCTCAAGGAGCGCGAGGAGGAGTACCAGCGCGCCCTGGCAAGTCGTGACGCAGAGAAGCAGATTCTGGAGAATCACAAGCACAAAAAGCAGCAGCTCGAGAAGGCGAAGTCCGACGCCTTCCTCAAGGAGCAGGCCAGTGGTGCAGCCAATCCAGCCCTGCAGCTTTGTGGACGATTCGCAGAGCTTCAGCTGGCAGGCAGCGACAGCGAAGTTCCTGAGCCTTTGCGAGGGCCCATGCAGGCTCTTCAGCAGGCGCTGGAGCAGTACCAAAAGCAGGAGGCCGAGAAGAGGAGGGCCCAGCAGGAGAGCGCTCAGGCTGAGCAGCCTACCGCTCCTCCTGGTGACGGCGGCGGCAGTGGTGCAGGTGATGTCGGCATGGGTGCTGGACCCGAGCTTGACATCCCAGTGCCCGAGGACGAGGACCTGGAGGACCTGTACAACGAGCAGGGCCTCAAGCTGGACGGGGTTGACGACGTCGCCGAGATCCAGCGCATCAACGAAGCCCGCAAGAGGATTCGCCAGCAGCTGGCCTCAGCTGCTGAGAAGGCCAAGCGGCGCAGGGTCGGGGCCCCAGCTGCTGCAGCAGACACCCACTGAGGGCTTTGCGAAAGCTGGCAGCTGGGGCCACTTCCAGCAGATAGTGAGCCAGACGCAGCTCACGCTCCAGCAGATGGCGCCGCTGTTGTCGGCTCCACCTTCGCAGAGGTACCAGGCGCTTCAGCTGTTGGACTGCCTCAATTCGCTCGGCTCGACAGTGGCGTTTTCACTCAGAGCGGCAGTTGGGAGTTCGACGGCCATCCCTTCTTTGGTACCACAGTCAGCCATGCAGATACGTGCAGTTTCTGGCAGTGGTGTGGTTGACGGTGCTGTTTCAGAGCAGAATGCAGAGTTGTTTGGAGCTCTTATCTGTTCGCTCAACATATACGACGGCATCGTTTGGGTGTCAGGGGAGCCGTGTGCGATGGGCAAGCCACCGCCCGTGGATCCTGACACGCCACAGTACATCTTTCGCGAAGGACTGATGTCAGCAGCATGCAGATGGGTTCCCTCACTTGCTTCAGATTCCTCAGGATATGAGGAGTGGATGGACATGTGCGGGCAGTACGCAGTTGTGAAGCTCAGGCAGCAATCACCTGCAGATTTTCGGGATGAGGCTCACCTCAGCCAAGTTGCTCGCAATTATTGTTACATGGCATGGGTGCAGTCTAGCAATAACAGAGCCAACTTCCTTGAGTACCTGGACTGGCTGGAGTCGCAGGACATGTTCAACGAATGGGACAGGGTCATAGCTCTACACTGGCAGCAGCTGGGAGATATTCAACGTCTATTTCGCCGAGAGATACGTGAGAGTCGGGCCCCGCCTATTGATGCGGCTCGGTATCGGCCAACAGTTGAACTCCCAAGCGAAGATGGCCAACACGATGCTGGGGTCAAAACTGAGGACGATGCTGGGGTCAAAACTGAGGACCAACAAGATGAAGATGATGAAGCTGACCCTGAGGATCCAGCTGGACCACCTGCACCACGAGCTGCACAGCTGCATGCAGATACTCTGGTGCTATCTCAGAGTGGTGGTTCTAATATAGAATCCAAGCCAGAGAAGCTCCCGAACCCCCGAGGTGCTGTCTTGGGGAGTCTTGAGCAGGTTGGGTCGCTTCGCCAGACTCAGCCTCAAGAGGCTGACGGGGGCCCTGGGGGGATTGGCGTCGGGGAGTGTGCCCCTCGTGCCGCCGACGACCATGAACCCTCGGGCCCCGCGTCTTGGGGCACAGGCCCGTTTGGGAACACCTCGTCGCCTCCCAAGGGAGGTATGCCAGTGCGGACTGCAGCTCAGCAAAACTTGGCGTCGGCGCAGAATCAAAGCGACGCCTTGAGTGCTGAGCGGACCTGCCGCAACTGTGGTGTCGGCCTCCCCAGTCAGGCCCGACCAGAGGAGGTGGTGACTACAAAGGTGCGCACGTGGAGGATTGTCACTGCCAACATTACCTCAGCGCAGAAGGAGGCGGCGAAGTTGTCCAAGATCGCCGCGGAGGTGGTAGAGATCGAGGTCGATGCTGATGCCCTGCTCATCCAGGAGCACAAGCTGCTCAAACCAGCGGCGGGGGACACTGTGGTGAGGCTGAAGCATCAGGGCTGGCACTTCCACATCTCCCCAGCCAAGCCGGGCACCACAGCCACATCAGCATCGTCAGGAGTGGCAGTCGGAGTTCGACAAGATATCGGCTCAGCAGCTCCACCTGACATGGGTGGCGTTACACCCCCGACCTCAAGATGGACAACACAGTGGATCGATGGCATGCTCCCTGGTGGCTTCATTCTGGCCTCGATCTACCTCATCTCAGGTAATCAGCACAAAGACGTGGAGGACAACAATAGGCAGATCATCCTGCAATGTTTTGAGCAGCTCAAGAGACTGGGACGCCCTTTCATCATTGGAGGTGATTGGAACATGAGTCCGCTCGACCTGGAGGAGCTCAATGTTTTGAATGACATGCCAGCTACCATAGCAGCTCCGTTTGAGTGGACGTGCTCAGCAGGACGTGGACGAACTATAGATTTCTTTGTGGTCTCCAAGCATTTCAAGAGCTTGATCACGGGAGTGCGACGACTGGAGGGCCTCAGCCTAGCAACGCATTGGGGAGTTTTGCTTGAGCTAGAAGCAGGACCTGGCGCGGCCATGGAGCAGCAGATCGTGATGCCGCGGAAGTTTCCCAACGATTGTCCGCTTGGCGCTCCACGTCCACCTCCATCGTACGACCAAGTACATGATGAGTGCCATCATGCACGTGAAGCTCAGGACCTCGACTGGTGCTTTCAGACGTGGGCTCAGATGGCTGAGGCGGAGTTGGCAGATCGGTATCACCTTCCTGACAACAAGCGACGTGCTGCAGCTGGACGGGGTGAGCTACATGTGCCTCAGTTCAAGCTGGTGGCAGCGGCTCGCAAAGCACCAGGTAGAGGCGCTGAAGGAGACCCCATCTCACGGAATTGGAGAAGGGCGGCCATGGCATTCCAGGACCTTCTTCATGCGCTCAAGAGGGAGTGGGAGCTGGACTCGCAATTCATTCAGCAGCGGCTTCAGACCCTTCGCAAGTTGAGGCGCAAGAACTTGGACATGGGCAGTTCCTGGTTTGTCCTTTGGTACCGACTCGACTATGAATGGAGTTGGGAGGATGAATGGATACGGGATTGCAGTTGGTTTGCAGCGCAGGAAGCCACCAAGCTCGAGCAGCTGTACTCAAAGCAGCGGGTCAAGGAGTGGCGGCAGGCGGTAGCTAAGTCCATCGAGCAGGAGCAGTCGAAGGCACACAGATGGAGTAAGCTACCAACTTTGTGGACGCAAGCAGAAGTTCATCCTGCCACGGGCATCAAGTCACATGCTACTACACTCGACGCGGACCTGCAGCAGTGGCTTAAGATATGGAATCATGATCCTGCAGCAAGCTCTTTTGGAGCCGGCCTACATTTATCCCAACTTCAGATGGATGATCAAATGGAACCTCTGGAAGTTGAGCAGATTCGCAAGGCAGCGCTTTCGTTCAAAGTGAAGACGGCCTCGGGCATCGACAACCTTGGGCCCAGGAATATGGCGCTGTTATCCGACGACTGCTTGCAAGCTTTCAGTTCTGTTATGGAGGTAGCGGAACGCATTGCGGAGGTTCCCAAGCAGATGAAGAATACAGTACTCCCGCGTTTACCCAAGCCTGAAGGTGGTCACAGGTTGATCGGCCTTATGACCGACACGCTCCGAGTCTACAACAGATGCAGAAGACCTGTCCAACGGCGGTGGCTTCAAGAGTATGCTCGGCCTTACCACTACGCCACGGCAGGGCGCAGTTCGGAGCGCGCGGTGTGGACTCAGTCAGTCATGGCAGAAGCGGGACGAGCATTGATGAGACACACGGTCACTGTGATGCTTGATTTGAAGAAAGCCTTCGAGAAGATATCGCATGCCTTATTGTGGGAGATTGGCTGCAGGCACAAGTTTCCCAAAAGGCGCTTGGCGATGCTCATCAAGACGTATGCTGGTCAAAGATGCCTCAAGTTTGGGAAGATCGCTTCAAGATTCATTTCCACGAACCAAGGCGTCATCGCAGGGTGCTCGGATGCCACCACCATGATGATCCTTTTCACTTGGGGCGCGTACGACCAGGTCTACACCTTGTGGCCGTCGCTCACCATCAGCGTTGTTGTGGACGATGGCAGTCTACAGGCTACGGGCACTGAGGCCGATGCTGCACGTATCATCATTGCTGCGGCCAAGATGTTGTGCAGGCTCCTGGTCAGGATAGGTTTGGAGCTGAGCCCGAACAAAGGACATGTTATTGCGACGACTCCAAAGTTGGCCAGGCAAGTGGAGATGGCGCTAAGTGACTGGGCCTTTCGGCGAGCTAGAGTTGTGCGACAGCTCGGACATGATCGACGGATGGGTGGAGGGGGCAGAATCCCTACACATCGAGGGCGAGTGGCAGCAGTTGGACGGAGAGTTCCACGGTTTCGCAGGCTGGCGCAAGGAGGGCGACAGATGGGCAAGCTGTTTCGCTCAGGAGGTCTGGCGTCAGTTGGCTACACGGCTAAAGTGCAAGGCATGAGTGACACCCAGCTGCAGAAAGTACGCTCCCTCTCTGGTCATGCGCAGTTTGGCTCAGCAAGGGGAAGGAGCAGAACCATGGAGTTTCTTCTTTCACATTGTCCTCGGTCTGATCCAACCTTCATTGCTGATGAGTACCCGCTCGCGTACTGGATGAAGGCCAAGTGGGAGCAGTGGGTCAGACCGAAAGCCATGGCCCTAGCCTTCATGCACGCGCAGAACCACACCAAGACTTGGCAGTCAGTCAAGGGACCTGCTGGAGCAGTTCTCATGACGCTTCGTCGTATGGGATGGCGAGCTGAGAGTTGGAGAGTTTGGTTCACTGAGCGCGGATCACGAGTTGATTTAGATGATATCGGCGTCGGCACCCTTAGGAAGCTGGTCAATGTATCCACTAAACGACGGCTCTTAGCAGGTGTTCCAGGCAGTCGTGGGATGGAAGGTTTAGTTGGACCGCCCATTTTGGAGCCGGCCCTCAAGGAGATATCCGACCTTCGGAAGAAAGGAGACTTCAAAGGAGCTGGTCTTCTTCGTACTTGGCTGGCTGGAGGTTTCTTCAATCAAGTTCGACTGCATGATGTGCAGGCCACGGAGAGCCCACTATGTGCGATTTGTGGGGTTGAGGAAGGGACTGATCTGCACAGGTGTTTCAGATGTGATTGGCATCTCACGGAGAGACAAGACTGGAGCGGTTTCGAGAGGAAGCTCATGTTGTGGGGCCGCAATGAGTATGGTCAAGATCATCCGTGTACTATGATGCTGTGCAAAGGGCTCTTTCCTGATCCCCTGTTTCAGCTTCCTGATGCAGTTGCTCACCATACGATTCGCTGGCATGTGTGCACAGTTTCTGGCCTGATCAGTGGAGTTGTTTGTGTGGATGGCAGCTGTATCTTTCCACATTGTGAGTTTCGAGCTCGTGGTGGATGGGCCTTTTGTATGATCGACGCGGTGGGAAATGTCATTGCAGCAGCATCAGGACCTGTTCCCTTTCCATGGCAGACCTCAGGTGCGGCGGAGTTGTTTGCAGCCCGACAAGCCATCCTGCACAAGTCGCAGGGCCAGCTGCACCTCGTCACTGACTTCAAAGAGCTCTTTATTGGTTGGCAAGCTGGACATCCCTATGGCACTCATTCTGGACACCAGTATGCAGAGCTTTGGGTTCAGTTCTGGAAAGCTGTTGATGATGTCGGTGCTGATGAAATTCAGATCGAGTGGATTCCCTCGCACCTCTCGCAGACGCAAGCGCTGGCTCAGCAGATTCCCTTGGCCTACTGGCACGGCAACAAGCAAGTGGATTTCTATGCCAAGTGTGGTGCGGCCATGCACCCACGAGATCTACCTCAAGAACGTGCTCGTCACATGCGCGAGCAGGCGGCAGCGTTGACGCTGAAAACTGTGCTGCGCATCCTGCGCCGCTGTTCGAGAGGAAAATGGGCTGATGTGGAACGGAAGGAGTACGTTGAGAGGCCGATCGGCCTCGCTCTGAGTGATGACAATGGCCACGTAGTGCGTAGGTACAAAGGACGATGGGCTTGCGCGAGGTGCGGAGAGAATCGTGCTCGTAGGTGTGACCTGGTGAACTTGAGCTGTGGAGGACCCCCTAAGGGGGTCCAGATGGCTCATGAGTCGCACCGCCTCTGGAAAACGGGCCCGATGGTTTGGTGTGTAGATTGCACTGCGAGGTGTGTGAGCAGAGCGTTTTTGATTGCCAGACCTTGTAAGGGTAGACCTCCCCTGGGTTCTCCGAGGTACTTTAAGAGGAAGTACCTTATCCAGGGGAAGGGCCCGTCAGGCGAAAAGATAGGAAATGGTTTTCACAAGCCTGTTCCTATCACCTCGCGTAGCTGATTTTAGTAATTAGCGCTTATGATGTATCGCGTTTCTGGCTTGGTGCCTCGTTTTCGGAGCCCCTCGTCGTCATCGGAACCATCGGAACCTCCTCCTCCTCCTCCTCCTCCTCCTCCGCCTCCCGACCACCGTCACGCGCAGGGGCTGCCCCCCCGGGGCCTCGCGGGGCGGCGGGGCGCCGTCGCGCCCGCACAGGCCCGCGAGGCAGGGAGGCGGCGGGCCCGCGCAGCTCGAGGGCGACCCGCCCATGCCGCCCGGCGCGGCGCACGGCACGCCCGGGGGGCGGGGGGGGGCGGGGCGCACCGGGCGCGGCTCTCGGTGACGGCGGCGGGGGCGGGGGCCGAGGGCGGGGGCCCGAGTCGGCTCGCGGGCCCGCTTCGGCTTCCGGCCTGCGGCCCGCTGCGATGAAGACGACGGCTGGAGGCTCGGAGATGTCGGGGACCTTCTGACCCGGGTCAATCCAGACCCGGGTCAGCAGGAAACCAAAAACTGCAATGCAAGAAAAAAAAACTGCAACGCTGATCCTCGCAAACCCGGGTCAGCCAATACGCGCGGCCGCCTCGCGGCCACGAGCGGCTCCCTGACCCGGGTCAGCCAGAGGGGGCCTTTGCAGGATCCTGCAAGATCTGGCGCCCTGGCTGACCCCCGTTTGCATTGACCCCCGTCTCAAGGCTCCCGAAGATGGGCACCAGCGCCAACACCGGGGATTGTCTCCACCGGGGGGGGGGATGATCCTGGATGTCGGTGTTGGTGGTACCGGTTCGTCCACTTGGGAAGCCCTAGCATTGCCGCCATCACCGAGATCGGGAGCATCTTCCCTCGGTGCAGGCACACCGCCCATCTTGGTGTTGGTGTCAACCTCTAGGCTTAGGTCGGGCAGGCCCACCTACAGGCGGCTTTCGGGGGAACAAATGCAACACAGTCAAGCAATGATCAAACATGATCGAAAATAGCAGAAACATCGACCCCAGACCATGCTTTAACTATCTTTGACGATTCCTCCTGTAGAGGGCCGCGGGGACCGAGGACGAGGGCCCGGATTCGGCCTCGGCCCCGCTTCGGCTCCCAGACTGCTGCGGCCTCGGCCCGCTGCGGCCATCGGCCCGCTGCGGCCATCGGCCCGCTGCGGCCATCGGCCCGCTGCGGCCTCGGCGCGTTGGCGGCTCCGGCCCGGCCGCGGCTCGGGCTGGCGCCGAGACTGGACGAGCGTGTTGCACTACTCGCAAGAAGGACTACTTTGCCAGCCTGGAACATATCCCTATCCCTAGGCTGGGCATCGCCTCATCACAATGCCAATCTTAGGGGTTCCCTTAGTTTTTCAGCTCGCATCCCTAAGATTGTCATCGCCTTTTGGCGTGTCAATCTTAGGGATAGGGATAAGTTCGAGGCTGGTGACGGGGGGATCTACGAGAAACCACACCGAAGCAGACACGTGCTTTCCCGGCCGTTTGCGAGTAGGCACTTTGCGAGTAGTGGAGCGCGCTCGGTGAGAAGCAGGCCAGGGCGAAACGGGCCCGAGCCGAAACGGGCCGAAGCCGAAACGGGCCGAAGCCAAGACAGACCGATGGGTCTGAAACGGGTTGGAGACGAAAGCGGCTGGTGCAGGAGTTGTTCAAATCCTGCACAAGCCGCGCGACCAGGGTGCCGGCGTAAACGTCGACGCGCCCCGCCCCCGATTCAGTGTTGGTTAGCATCGCCAGCGGGGCGCAGAAGTTCGGCCAGTCGACGGATCGACCAATCGAAATTTGGGGGCGTGGGGGGGGGGGGGGGGGGGGGGGGGCAAAAATCGATATAGAAAAATGCGAGATTTGTCCCATCAGCGGACGGCGGGTCAGGGGCAGGCAGGTTGAAGGGGGAGAAGATTGAGGGAACATTGAGGTAATACAGGAGGCTGGAACTGGGGAAGAGAAGCGAAACAACAAAACCACCAGCTCGCAAGCGGATGGCGCAACGCCCCCCTTAATCGGCGGTGGACGAACCTTCCTTCAGTAGACCTTCCCTTAGTAAAAAGGGCCTGGGACCGAAACCGACGGACCTGGACCCGCAAGAATGACGGCCGCGACGCCCTCTCGGGAACACAAAACGGCCAATTCCTTAATCGACGTGCCAGGGTAGGAGGTCTGTCCACCCCCGACTCAAGGCCGGGGTGGGAGATCCCCCACCGCGCCAGGATCGCCCGTCGCTAAGCCCCAGTCCTCACAAGACCGACACAAAAATCTCCACGCGTGACCCCTTGTCTGACGTCGACGACGAAGCACACCCACAAGCAGACACGACGACGCGCACAAGGACGACAACGGCAACGGAGATGGCGACGGCGGCGTCGGCGGCGGAGACAGCAGAGACGACGACGACGACGACGACGACGACGACGACGACGACGACGACGACGACGACGACGACAGGCACCGCGCGAAACAACGCTGCAGGAGGACGCTCGTTCGTTCGGCGCCCTGGCGGCGGCCGCCGCGAGCGCTCGCATGGAAAACTGACAGTGGCGCCTCCACGGCCGGGGGCGCGAGGCCGCCCCTCCCCCCCGGAACTGGGGGGCGGGCCGCCCTCCCGCGCTCCTCGGAGGTGGCTGGTGCGAGGCGGGCAGTCCTCTGAGGGGCAACGATCGGGGAGGGGACATATAGGCACCCGGGGGGGGGGATGGGCATGGACCCGGAATCGGCGATGCATCGCCGATGGATCGGCGATAGGCCCCCGAGAGCGAATCCGCACCTCCCTGGGCTCCTGGGCGGGGTTGGGCTATCAGACCCCTATCGGCGAGCAATGGGCGATTGGGGGCCGATGCATCCCCCCCCCCTATGCCTATATCCCCCCCTAGCGTTGCCCATCCATGTACACCGCCTGGGAGCCGATGCCCCGGCGCCCCAGCGGGCGGCGGTGAGACAGTCGAGCCCAGGCAAAGAAAGATGCCCCTCGAGGACACGAGACCCTCCGCCGGCCAAAAGGGAAACGGAAGCTCCGAGGGGCACCCTCCCCCCCGTGTGGAGGTCCGCGGAGATCGACCCCCCAGGCGGCGGTGGTGGACGAAACGCCGCCTCGGAGGCTGGGGCCCTCTCATGCTCCTGCGAGGCCAGAGCTCCCAGCCCAGGCGCCACGGCTCCCGAGCCCACGAGGGGCCTGGCCGGGGGCGGCGCACATGTGAGCGACGGAAAAGGAGGGGTCCTACGCGAGACTCGGCGGCGAGCGAGGGGGGGAAGTGAGAAGGAGAAGGCCTTCTCAGAAGGCGGCGGGGCTTTCTCAAAGGGCTCGAGGCTCTGACCTTCTGAGAGGTTTTCTGTGTCTTCGGGGAAAGCTTAGAGAACTTCTCGCAAGGCTGGGGGACTTCCGAGCCTTCCGAGAAGGTCCGTCCTCCTTTGCTTCCCCCCCGCCCCCCGCCCGCCGCCGAATAGCGACCAGACAACCCCAACCCAACCCGAACGCCTGCATTTCGGGTTTGGGGGGGGGGGGCGGGTTCAGCATGTGTGGTTTCCCTTGTTCCCCAAGCCCCCTCCCACTGGGATTACGTCGGGCCTGTCCCCCTACAGGGGGATTTTCGACGGACAAAAAAAATTGCCCCAAAATAGTCCAAACATGGTCTGGGGACTATTTTTTGGACATGTTGTTGGCCATTTTGGGCCATGTTTGGGGTATATCTTCTTTTTCGTCGACAATCCCCCTGTAGGGGGACAGGCCCGACTTGACGCTGAGAGTGCGCATCTCGGGGCCTTCGGGTTGGGCTGGTCACCGCGTCGCTCGTGTGCGGATCTCGCCGCCCCAAAAGGGAGAGCAGCGCACGGCAAGAGGCCCTGGCACGCAGCCTCAGCAGCAGTCGTCGTAACGGACGTCCTCCACGGGCTTGCCGACGTCCTGCACGCTGAGAGCCATCGTCCACGCCAGCGCGCCGGTCGACATGAGCTCCTGGAGGCCTCCTGGATGGGGTCCGAGTGACTGGCGTCGCAGGATCTCGCCGCCATCGGCGATACATCGACAATGCACTGGCGACGTGAGCGATGCATCGGCGACGGCGGCGTGAAGAAAAGTGAGCCCCACATCGAGCCGCATCGCCGATGCATCGCCGTTGCATCGGCGATGCGTCATGATCCTCCGACCTCATCTACTCCGACCCCATCCAGGAGGCCTAGAGCTCCTCAAACACGGCGTCGCCCTGCTCGACGACGAGGCCCGACAGGTGCTCCCGGTACTTGGGGTCGATCGCGGGGCGGCCTGGGTCCCGCACTGGGCGGTGGTCCGGCACCACGGTGACCAGCTGGTCCAGCGGCTTCGCCAGCCCGGCGACAAGCCGGGCCGCGAAGTGGACCCCTGCCTGGCTGGAGTACGTGGTGCGGGCGAGCACCTTTTGAGCAGGGACCGACCGTCCCGGCAGTCCTAATATAGCCCTACCACTAAATTTTCTTAGAACCCAAATATGTTCGAATGACATAAACCCGATGTGTTAAAACAAGACAATGTCCGCCAGAAATGTTCTAATAACACTTCGTGCAAACCACAAAAGGTTCTTAGAACACTGTTTGGTGGGACTGTAGGCGAGCCGGGGCGCTTCGCCACTGCTTGAACCTTGACTCTGAGGGCCACGCTCCAGGCGGCGGCGCCGGCCTTGTCCGCGGCGCCCTGCGGCGCGAGCAGGACCTGTGAGCATCGTCCGACCCCCATCCCCGGCGGCGTGGCCTGGGCCCCACTGGCCGAGTTGCCCCCCCCCAGGTGGGGATCTAGGATAGGCCGCTCCCTCCGGGCCCCGAGGGGTGTATCCCCAACTGGGGTGGAAAGTTGGTGGGGGTCTGGAAGGGGATGGGGATGGGGTCGGTTCAACGATACTGAACCTGTTTGGACGCCCGAAATGGATGCGGAAAAAAATGGGTACAATGCCCAACAACAAATGCTGTCCCAAACCAACAGCGGCCGCTGTTGGGCAGGCAGGCGGCCTTCTGTCTCAAACGGACACAGGCTGCGCCGGCGCGGACAGCTAGTCCTGTTCAAAATGAACGAGAACTGCTGTTGGGCGCCGTACCCATTCTCTCCGTACCCATGCCGTTCGTGCCGAACCTGGACGCCGACGACGGCCCGGCCCCGGCCGAACATGGTGGGCAGCTGCGCCCAGCAGCTCTCCAGCGCCCCCGCGCCGCCGAGCCGCGCGGCGGCGTCGGGGAAGACGACCTCCACGGGCCGGGCCGCCGGGCCCGCCAGCTCGGCGCGCAGCGAGGCCCGCGCCACGCCGCGGTGGAAGGCCTCCCGCAGCTCCGGGCGCCCGGGCGGCGCACCCGCCCTCCTGCGGCCGCGCCGGGAGGGGGAGGCCAGGCGCGCGGGAGGCCGAGGACCCAGACATCGGGCGCCTCGAGAAAATCGAGGCGGAGGTGTTTCGTCGTGTTCGGCCTCTCGGGGCCTTCGCCGGGCCTCGGGACCGTCCAAGAAAACGGCTCGGGGTGAAAAAGACCGGTCCCGGAGAAGTGGTCGGGAAGTCGGGGGCCCGCGTCTCGAAAAAACCGAGACGTCGGAGGTCTGGGGAGGAGACGCGGGAGCCGTGAGGCAGTGGGCAGGGCGCACGAGGCAGGAGCCGTAAGGTCACCAGGCGCAGCGGCGCCGAGGGGGCGTCGAGCCGCCGCCCGCCGAGCTCGAGGGGGGAAGCAGGCTGCAGCGGCGGTGGGGGGGGCTATGAGTCTAGGAGGGGAGGGGGCGGGCGGAGGGGGCACGCCGCACCGGCCCTGGCACGAGGTCGGGCATGTCCTCCTCCAGGCGGATTCTGCGAGGCATCTAAAAAAGAATCCAAACACATCGCCAAACATAGTAGGAGAGGACATAGAACATCGTCCCCAGAGTCGCTTTTAAAAACAAAGAAAGTTAAACAAAAAAATGTTCTTGAGTGTTCCTCCTGTAGCGGGGCGTGCCCAATTTGGCCCTGGCACGCCCCGCGCCTGACCCGCCGAGCCGACGCCCCGCCGCGCGCGGGCGGCGGCCGCGGCGGGGGCGCGGGCTCTGCGGCGCCCATCGGCGCGCGCCGCGAGGCGGCGCGGGCGCGCCCTGCGCGGGGTCGGGTCGGGCGAAAGGGGGGGATAACAAAGGGGGGTTTGAGAATCAGCTCACGTTGCTGATTTTCCCGGCGCCTCCCGGCGCCGGGAGGCGGCCCTGCATCGAGGAGTGGGCCCCTCGGCGGCACCGAAACTGGGCGCATGCGGCAGATTTCGTACCCCCCCCTTTCCCAATCCCCCCCTTTCGTCTGGCCCGAGCGGGGGCGACGGGGCGCCCGGGTCCCCGCCTCGGGCCCCCCCTCGCGTCGCGACAACAGCAGGGCAAGAGGATTCGCCCCGTCTTCCGGGCAGGGGGTTGGAGTACTGAGTTGATTCACCTCTGCACAAAAGGCGCGCACACCTTACAACATTCTACGCATGCTCCACGAAGAAACAACTTTGGGGGGATCAATTTTATAGTCGATCCCCTACTCGAGTGTTGGGCCCCTCGGGGCCCTCGCCGGGCCCTTGGGCCGTCAAGAAACGACTCGGAAGGAAGAATCGGCCCTGGAGCCTGTGTGAATTCTTACACACACACACACATATATATATATATATATACATATACATATACATATACATATACTAGAACCACGCGCGCGCTTCGCGCGCGCTTAGGTTCAAGCACCCCCCAGACCTTGACAAGCTCACAGATGCACGCGTGCACGTAAACACAAATTGCTCGCACATGAAGTGAAGAGGTAGCAATCGCGCGGACCGAACAGAGACGACATTCTGACAAGTATACACACAGACGCATGCAATGCGAATCCATATGACATGATCGTGGAAATGTCATGCAGTGGCTATGCAACGCGTTGCAACTCAACGCAAACTACTGCAAGGATAAATGAAGCACAAATGACATGCAACGCAACGCTCTGCACATCAAACATTTGGAGCGGCCATTGGGATGTCGGCTCGTGCGATCGTTGATCCATCTTGTGCCACTCTGGGGCTTCTCTAAACGCTCGTTGTTCGGGTGTTGCGCGGCGTCGGCCGGAACTTCTCTTGGGGCCCTATCGTGGCTGAGTCGGGGCTGTCCTGGGGTGTGTGGGGATTCAATTCGAGCCCCAGAAAGCTTGTTCCGGGGAAGGCGTGGAGACCTCCAGGGGGCGATGGATCGCTTTGTCCACACCGTGCGACATTTATGCAGCTGGCTCTGCATGCCTGAAGACGGCACGGTGGCCAACGTAGACCTCTTACAAAATCAATTTCCTTCCGCGGGCTTCAGACGAGGTTCCGCTGGCTTCCGCCAGCCAAATCGCCCTCGATTTACATCCGCCGGCTTCCGCGGGCCTTCGGCCGGCCTCCGCGGTGACCAAGAAGACGACTTCTGAATTCCTTTAAAACGAAAGCCTTTTTGAAACACTCTACACGGACTTGGGCGCCGAGGAAGGGCCTTTGGGCGTCGAACCACCGAAACGCGTGGCACCAAACTCGAAAATCCATATAGAGCTCGAAACTGGCCTGTTGGCATCCAGCCTATCCCGCCACCGCGTTTGGGTTGTGATGCAGAGGTCTTTTGGATGTCTGTTGTTTGTTTGACAACAAATGAAAACAATCAGTACCAAGACGCGTACACATACAAGCAATGCGAAAATGGGTGGACACTCGCGCAATCGCGCTTATGGAAGTGGCGGCAACAGCCGAGCTGAAGGATACTGGATGGTTCAAACATGCGACCATCCAGGCAATCCATACCCCTTGGGGGAACCATTAGGCGAAACAAAGTGAAACAGCATGAAAAGAACATGTATGGCATAGGGGGTCCCCCTTGCACGAGCGTAGCGAAGCTACGCTGAGCGAAATCCGATGAGACATTGCGCAGACTAACTCAAGCCAGCTCAGACAAGGTCTCTTGGATGCCTCTTGGGGCTTCTTGGGAAGCCTCTGGAGAGCCTGCTGGAGGCAGTTTTGAAACATATTGGGGGTCGTTTGGGGGCCTCTTTTGGGCCTCGTGGAGCCTGAAGGCGATCTCGGGGGTCTCCTTGGGGCGGATGGTTCGAAATCTCAATTCGAGTTTTCTGTCTCTCTCTCTCTCTCTCTCTCTTTCTCTCTCTCTCTCTCTCTCTCTTTTTCTCTCTCTCTCTCTCTCTCTCTCTCTCTCCCTCCTGGGACCCTCTACTGTTGAGGCTCCCGTGGGGCCCTATTGGGCACCTCCTGAGCCGTCTTGAAGCCCTCTGGGGCAATCTTCACAGCCCAAACCCAATCTTCAGACCAGCTGGGGCGGTCTCGGGCCGCTCTCGGGAAACCTCCAAGCGCTCTTGGAGCTGTCCTGGGGTTTTTTGAGGTCTGTAGGGCGTGTTGACGCCTTCAAGCAGCCTCGGAGGCCCATCGGCAGTGAAAAGGCGACGTGCTACGAACGTACAGCTTGTGGACAGATTTTGAGCAATTTGGCAACTCGGAGCCCTCTTGGGGGCGTCTTCATCCTGTACCTGGAGGCTTCTGGGAGCGTCTGTGGGCCGTTGTGGAAGCGTTTTGGGGTGTCTGGGGTCCGTTTTGGGGATTTTGGACCATCTGGGCAGCCTCGAGGGCCGTCGGGAGTCCATCCGGGGCCGTCTGGGGTGGTCTTGAGAGGCAAATGAGCATTCTTGCAGCCGTCTTGGGAGCCTCTTGGACCAGCTCGGGACGGTCTTGGGGGCCTCTTGGGCCGTCTTGGAGCGTCGGGACGACGAAAAATTGAGGAAGCCAAAAAAAAATCAAAAACCTGAAGGCAAGCAATGATTTTGGCTGTTTGGGTCCCTCTTGGGAATGCTCTCGGGGCTGTCTTGGGACGTCTTGGATGCAACTTTTGCCATCCGGGAACCATCTTGGGCGTCTTGGAGCGGTCGTAGGCGCGTCGAGGCACGCTTTGACCGTCTGCGACGCCTCTGGGGCCGTGTTTGCAAGCTCCTGGGCGGTCTTAGGCGCCTACTGGGTTGTTTTTAAGCCCTCTTGCCGTCTTGGGGCGTTCTTGGGGGCCTCTTGGGCGATCTTGGGACGGTCTTGGGGACTTCGTGGGCTGTCTTGGAGGGTCGGGGCGACGAAAAAACAAGAAAACCAAAACTTTATATATATATATATATATATATATATATAGATTCAATGATTTCGGCCTCTTGCAGCCGTCTTGGGAATGCTCTTGGGGCTCTCTTGGGACGTCTTGGAAGCCTCTTGGGCCATCTGGGAGCCATCTTGGGCGTCTTGGAACGGTCTTAGGCGCGTCGAGGCACGCTTTGACCGTCTACGACGCCTCTTGGGCCGTATTTGCAAGCTCCTGGGCGGTCTTAGGCGCCTATTGGGTTGTTTTTAGGCCCTCTTGCCGTCTTGGGGCGTTCTTGGGGGCCTCTTGGGCGATCTTGGGACGGTCTTGGGGACTTCGTGGGCTGTCTTGGAGGGTCGGGACGACGACAAAAACAAGAGAACCAACAACCTACAAAAAACCAACGGGATTCAATGATTTCGGCCTCGTGCAGCCCTCTTGGGCCGCGTTTGCAAGCTCTGGGCGGTCTTAAGCGCCTACCGGGTTATTTGTAGGCCCTCTTGGACCGTTTTGGGGCGTTCGGGGGCCTTTTGGGCGATATTGGGACGGTCTTGGGGACTTCGTGGGCTGTTTGGAATGTCGGGACGACGACAAAAAAAAGAAAACCAAACACCTGCAAAAAAACGACGGAATTCAATGATTTCGGCCTATTGCAGCCCTCTTGGGAATGCTCTTGGGGCTCCCTTGGGACGTCTTGGAGGCCTCTCGGGCCGTCTGGGATATCTTGGGCGTCCTGGATCGATCGTGAGCGTCTCGAGGCACGCTTGGACCGTCTTCGGCGCTTCCTGGGCCGGACAAGGGCGCCCCCGGAGGCCCGATCCCGCCATGGGGGGTTGCGGTCCCGGCCAGGGAGCCCCCGGCCTTGTAGCCCGGTATTATATATATATATATATATATATATATATATGTATATATATATGTATATATGTATATATATATATATACGAGACTGCCTTGGCGCTGCGCGCCATGCACCTTGGTCTTTTAAAGCTTCGCACGTTAACGGGGTGCGTGCGTGAGTACATGCGCGCACACATGCGCCAATGGAAACATACTGCATATGTACATATAGCTGTACGTATGTACATGCACATGTACATGCCAATTGTCTGTGTAACTATGCGTGCGCATACACATGTGTATCTCAAGCGGTAATGGCCTGACCAGCTGCTCCGGGCATCTCGCAACTCAAAGATGCGAGGGCCTCAAGCGAAAGTGGCCAGACTACCATCGTCCTTC